TCAACACATAAGTGAGGTTCTTAAGCCAGTTTTCATAAGGATGGGACTTCAAGTCGACATCAAGCATGCTTCAAGTTGGGATAGTTAGGACCCACAACAACCTGGAGGAGAGGGAATTTTCCTGGAAGCAAGAGGATAGAAGATTAGTGTGGAAGTGATTAGACTGTGATGGAACACCTCCTACAACTAAGAAACCAAAATTTGTCCAGATACTCTTCCAGTGCTCAGATTATCATGCTCTTAAGAAAGAGACTTGATGTCTTATACGAGGGGAAACACTAATTTCCTAATTGTGAAATCCACAGGCTTAAGGACATCATGTTGTTTAAGATTGCACTATTTTGGAGAAGGGAACAAATGTCCATTAATTTAGCATTAATTTAGGACCTGTGTAAGAAAGTGCTTTAGTTTTGGACAAGATCCTTGTTTGATAGTTCCCTCAGAGCCCTTTTAAGGTGTTTTGTGTCTCGATTGCAAGGAGAATTCTGTTTTTTTTGTGTGTGTCTGTTGAAGGCAGGACTCTGGACTCAAGGATTTGTGAGATTTATCTATACAGTAGTGTAAACTTCATGTGCAATTTATTGTAAGAAATGTTTATTTAAGTGTGCCAGAGAAACCAAGAATATATGTTCTGAGAACCACTTGGTATTCCCAAGACTACAGGGGGTATAATTATTGTTAATTTTAGAATTTCCTTGCATAGCATCCTGGTGTCAGGAACTGATTATTATATTGAGGTGATGCTTCCTTATTTTATAATAATAATAAGCCCCTAACACTTACAAGTAAATGTCATAATATGTTCACTGTGGATTTTTGTGGGGTATTGCAGTGGATTTCAACTTTGATAGACATTGTGAAACGATGCACAGATTTGAGCAGAATTAGCCTCTGAACAGAAAGTCAGGATGTGTTACGTAGTTATTTTAAATCCTAAAAAATGACAGTACAAAATATTTTTGTAAAATCTTTTTTTTTTGGTTTAGTTCCCATTTTTATACATTTATTTTGTAAACAAGAGGATTATTGTGGCCTCTTTATAGTTTTCGTTAACTAAACAGATGTTTTTATATTACTGTCAACATTGTGACCTAGAAGAGAATATGCAAACACACAAATAAAAATAAAACACGGTACCTCAATTTTGAGTTTTGATATTCTAGTTTTTCCTCCATTTTGGTCCTGGTCAATCTTAAGAGAGGGAACTCTGCAAGTCTGAGTATGACAATGGACATCCAAATGTTTTAAGTTGTATTAGACAGAAGTCAGGTGACCTGGAGTCTTTTCCTCTCACATGACTGACTAAAGCACCAGCCACACCCACATAGTACCACAGAGTGATAGCATCAAGAGCCCTCAGGTGTCACTTAGTAGTAACATATGAAGGCAGTATAAAGCCAGTATGCAAAACGTAGTTTACTGAACTGAATATGGATGCAAGATTCATGTTTTTTTAATGGGACTATACCCTCTTAACAATAATAACATTATCTGAGATAGACCGCAGCCAGAGAAACTATATAACCCAATACCATTGCTTGACTTTATCTGCCCAGAAACATTTAGATGTGATAGTAAGATCAGCATACCTGTAATTGTCTTGTCTTCTTGATTCTTGGTTGATTTTTGTTCTCTTTGCTCTTTTCTAGTTTTCACATAATTAATTGGCTTCTTCCTTTTCTACAATTGTAATCGTTGCCTTAGACATCTTGCATTTTAATGTAGTTCACTCTGTGTCCTTACTGAATGGCTTTTAATTATATGCTATGCCTCATTTCACTGAACTAGCCACATGAAAATAGAATGGCTGAGGAGACCTAAGAGGGTTCAGAAATTCCTTAGATATCATGAAATTCCTTATATATCATGCAATGTATGTATGACTGCTGTAATTCGGTTTAACATAATGTATATAATGAAAAATCTGCAAGTATTATTAATATTGAATCAACAGAATTATGTTAGAGGTTAGAACCGTTGGAATGACTTGAGTACAGAAGTGTCGCGGGTGAGCACATTTTGTTTGTTCAACCTTTTAACATTTCTATTTCCGTGAATAGGTACAGTAACTGTCTCCTTTTTGAAACCCTGTTATTTAATTAGAATCATCTTTCATAAGTATTGTCCGACTGGGGAAGACTGTGCTTGTTGCATATCAACATAACTCACATTTATATTAAATATGTTGGCTTCTCTGGGTGGGTTGCACAGTGGTCAGTTTTCGTTAGTTAGCTCCCTGTTTTGTGGCCCTGTTCAGTTCTGGACCTGGGGTGCTATCTGTGTGGGTGTTCTCGCTGTTTTCACATGGGTTTTCTCCAGGTCCTCCAGTTTCCTCCCCCAGTCCAAAGATATAATGGTAGTTTAAATGGCTTCTGGGAAAATTGGCCCTGTTGAGAGTGTGTGTACAGTATGTGGACCCCTAGAGGTTTTATTTCTCCTTCCTCTCCTTCATTGTCTTCTGGTCTTTTCTGTTCTGTGTTCACAAAATGTATGGTCACTTGCATTGTTAAGCGCTTTGGTGCAACCTTGTTGTGAAAGGCGCTATATAGAAGTAAATTGAATTGAATGTGGCTGTGATGAACTTGCATCTCTTCAAGGGTGTACCCTGCTTTGCTTGCCAAGATAGGCTCGAGCTAACCCCAACACCCCACGTCAGATAAGGCAGTTGGAAAATTAGATTAGAAATTAGTTAGAAAATTAGTTCGATAATGGCTGGGTGGTTTCTCCCAATACGCTTTATTTAACAAACAAGCAAGATGTGTCTTCTCTCCTGTTAATATAATTTGTGGAGAATCTGTTCAGTTATTTGTGGCAATCCACATTTATAATTAAGATTCCTCATAGACTGAAATGAATTAGCACCATGTGAAATCTGCATTATGTCATGGAGGGTTATTCATGATCAAGCTGGCTTTTACACACAATGGCTGCAGCTTTTGTAAACATCTTTGTCAAGATGGAAAAACCTGTTAATTCTTTTCCTTGTGGTGTTCGAGTAACTTTGTCTCTCTGTCAGAGCTGCCTGTAGCAATTTCTGTAACTAGAAGGATCTGATTAAATAGGGAAGATTTTTCTACTCTTTGGGTGCTTTTTTGAAGTTATTAAGTCAAAACAGAACAAAAACAGATTTATACATGATTAGGACCAGTATATAACGTCACTGTTATGTGAAGCATCCCTTTCCTCTTTCAGCAGGTGAGCGGATTCCTCTTCCCTCTGGTGATTGATTAACAAGTGAAAGTTTTCTGGTGTCATTTAACCTTCCTGTCAATAAATCCAGTCGAAAAAGTGAACATTGTCCTTGTGATAACTCTGTTCCAATCTGTTCTAGTTCTTCTACGATGAAGACAAGTCTCCTAGTAATATTTGCAGTTTAATAAATTCCATAGCATGTATTTCAAAGAATAAGATTACATTTTAACCCTTTTCATATGAAAAAGTAAGAACTTTTTGATATTACAGCAACTAAATAATTTTTATTTTCAATTTTGCATCCTCCACATCATAGTGTAGACAGTGATTTCCTGCAGGATGGTCACAAATTCTTGCATCACACCCTGTGACTATACAGTATGTCAGATTTGTTTCTCTGCAAGTTTAACTGAAGTTTAACTGAGTGTCAGAGTTCACTGCTACTATTAACTCACCTGAGTCTTAGAAACTGATTGATCAAAAGCTGTCTCTGCAAGATACCTGCCAGTTATTAAAATGAGTGAAGCCATGCAGCTTTTCAGTCTTTTCTGTGCAATGGTAGTGCAGCTTCTGTGCAGTGCTTTTCAAAATATTTAAAGAAACAAAAAGCTCAGCAATTTTTTAAAATATCATTTGCAAGACAGGAGCAGAATCTTTTTATAGACTGCTATGGGGAAGGGTGGCACAGTGGTTAGAGTTACTGCCTCGCAGTGCTGGGGCCCTGGGCCCAATTCTGGACTTGGGGTGCTGTGTGTGTAGTGTTTGTATGTTCTCCCCATGCTCATACGGATTTCCTCTGGTTTCTTCCCACAACCCAACGGTATACCGGTGGGTTATTTGGCTTCTGGGATACTTGGCCTGGATGTGAGTGTGTACGTGTGCCTGTCTCTGTGTGTCCCGTGATGGACTGGTGTCTCATCCAGGGTGTATCCCATTGCTTGATGGGATATGTTCTGGCTCCCAACCAACCCTAAACTGGAAGAATTGGGTAGAAGAAGGATGAATGGATGATATGGGGGAAATAATTTTACTAGGTGAAGAAATCAAAGTAAGCAGTCATGAACGTAACAGTGAATGGAGCTTATGCTATTATATTTAAGCCAAAATATTCCAGGCACATGGATTTCAATGGGGAACGACTAATAAAAAAGTACGCAACAGACCAGCTTCATTAACACGGGTCTCTCTCTCTGTCTCTCCCTCTCTTTCTTTCTATGACGCCTACCTGCCTCTCCTAATTCTCTTTGTCCGTCTTCCCTCTGTTGTGAATTATCTGGTGTCCTTCTGCTCGACACTCAACACCTTTCTCCCCATTGTCAATCTTTGTTCCAAACCTCGCTCCACGTTGTTACCCAAAATGTATCGTTTTGTCTCTGCTATTTCACCCAACCTTGATTTTTTAATTTCATTGCCCTTCCATCCTCTCTGCTCATCTTTTTTTGTTGTTTATTACATGTCACTCTCCTGTTGCTTTTTATGTGAACCATATCGCCTTTCGGTGTTTTATAATCACGCTGTTATTTTCTACCTGTGCCCCTCCATATCTCCTGACTCTTTTAATTTTTGTTCCCCACAACTGCGTCTTGAATTCCCATTTTAACCAACACCCCCTCAAAATCTCCCTCCCCCGGGAACCCTTACAAATGTCAAATCCATGACACCGTGCCCACCACCATCACCCTCCTCACCCTTCACCTCTTCTCATTCTCTTCCAATCCCTCCTACTGATGCCATCTGGATCCCCCCTCTCCATTAACCCTCTCCCCGTATATGACCTCCCCACCCCACCCCACCCCACCGGCCTGCAGTTCTGATCCTGGAGAAGGTGGAGAACGCAGACCTGGGCAACAAGACCCTCAAGATCACCGACTTCGGCCTGGCGCGGGAGTGGCACCGCACCACCAAGATGAGCGCGGCGGGCACCTACGCCTGGATGGCACCGGAGGTCATCCGGTCGTCCACCTTCTCCAAGGGCAGCGATGTGTGGAGGTGGGCTACACAGAAATGGGGGGGGGGGTTCGGGAGACCAGCCGAGTGCATGACACAACCCAGTCCTTCAACACCTTGGCTTCTCGTCTGAACGTGTGGCCTCGCGAAATGTTGAGGTTGTGTGACAGCTCTGCTTGCTCTCCCTGCTGACGGTCCGGTGTTTACAGCATGCTTTCTTCCTGTCTTTAATTGGAAATGTTGGGTGAAGATAAATACACAACGCAGAGCACGTAAGGCAAATACATATGCACAAAACCATGTGTCTGGATGGATATAACCCGAGCACGTGAACATTCTGTAAGAATTTCACATTCTGTATAGCCGCTTTGTGAAAACACGGTTTGAGACATGAACAATATTTTAAAAGACAGATTTTTTTAAACCTAAGAAAGTAAGTCTATTCATTTAATTTGAGATGTTTTATATATACAGTAAATAATTATTTTAAGCTTGGGTAGATTACGTATATTATATATTGTATTAGGCGGACACCTTTTTACATAATATGACATAATTCAGTTTTTATGTTATAAGTTTTAGAAAAACTTTTTGCAGGTAATAAAACGATTATGTATAAAGGCTCATGGTAAACATGTGTAGTGTTATGTAGAGCTATTTTACAATTCGCTGGAATTGGGTTGCAGCCAATGAATGATTGCAGGTGCTTGTGATCTAATGCCCTCTAGTGGAGAGTGCAGCAATGCAGTGCTGGTGAAAGCAGGCTCTAAGGCCTGTAAGGCAGAGACAGAGATTGTTGTATCTGAAGATGCAGGCTGAATAGGCAGGTTTGGAAGAATATACAGACGCTGGCCAGAGATGGTCAAGATGAACGAGTTGAATACTGGATTATGTAACAGGAAAGGCAGAGGCAAGTTTAGACACTGGAGGACAAAGCTCAGGTTCCACAGCAGCTTTGGTAAAAAATAAATCGGATTCCTTATTGCTCGGAATTGTGCAATTAATATACTTTGAGAGCTAATCTGAGATTTTTTTGCTTGGTCTGTTCTGTTTGGCACATCTTTCACATCCATCTGCTAGCAGTTTATTGATCCATCTATAAAAGAGTGCTGCAGGGTGTTTGCAGGAATCAGTGAGGGATTTGGCTTCATTTTATGCAAACATCTTGTAGGTTTTTTTTTTGCTGAAATGCTGAAGATTTTATACAAGCAAGCTGATCATTCTATCAGTATTCAGCTAAAAAGTAACAGCATAATCCTTTATTCCAAAGATCAGCTGGAAAAAGAGAAAAAAATGTAAATAGATGTATAGGTATAGGACAGTAGTATGTTCCACTTTGCTTTTTATATCTTTTTACAGGGTTTTGGATTGCTTATTGAGCACATCATGAATAAAACGTAATAGATTTTAAAAGTAATACAAGTATGTGACTGATGTTGGCTGATGTCTGGGACGTGTTGGTGGACCAGTTGGGGGTTCTTGCCTCAGCTAGAATTTCCAGTTTAATGCCCCAGTATTAAACTGGAAGGGAACTCTGTGCAGTTTGTTGAATGAGATGTTCATCCAAGGTCCTTACTTCTTGGTCATTAAAGATCATTAAAGTCATTAAAGATCCCATGACACTAATCAAAGAGTAGATGCGTTAACTCTGGTGTCCAGGCTAAACACTACAGTGGACTTGTACAATCTCCTTAAATTTCCCCCCTTAATTCATTTAGGGAGCGATGGTAGCTCAGATGGCAAGGGCATCTAGTTTCTGACTAGAATATCCCGGGTTCAATCCCAGGTAGGGGCAAGCGATGTAGCTTGCTCTAATTCCTTCCAGACGGCTTCCAGGTCCACTCAGCCTGCTTTCCAAATGAGGACTGGGGGTTAATCCTTCTGGGGGTAATAAGCTGGCCGGAGCGTGATGCTGACCACGTCACCTCCACCTCCAGTGTCGGATGGTTGAGAAAAATGGTGGCCCTTGCCCCCCCATTCCCCCATGGGCCTTTATGGCCTAAAAAGTGGACCTAACCTACCTACCTAATTCATTTAGTGAAGCCATTTCTCCTTTCTTCACCTGTTATGCTAGACTGTTGGCACGTAATGGCTACCACTCATCACATAGCTGGGGCTGCACTTCATTGGTGATGGAAGTGCATCCCCTGCTATACAGTATGTGAAGTGCTTTGTGTTCCTTGGAAAGGCCCTATATTGTTAGTTGTGCCATTTATTCGGTTGAGGCTTTAATTATGAATGATAATAAATAAAGCGTGCACCTGTTTGATTGGTCTCGTAGTAACATGGTAGCAATCCTGGTTCTTTTGTTGTACTATGTGATAAGAATTATGTAGGGTATGCCTACATTTTTTTATAGCCAACTGGTTTTCTAGACACTGTGTGTTGTGTTTGTTCTACACAGTTTAGAAGAATGACTTTATTTAAATCTCTTAAGTAGGTCCACTGCTATTCCACTGGGACAGCAGTTTCATCAGTTAATCTGAGTTGGCATTTTCCACTGAAGGTAAATGATAAAAAACTTGCATACAAACAACTCAAGCACTCCACAATTAAAAACAAGAGAAGTTATAATAAAATACAACTAATTCAAGTACATAATGAAATAAACAATGAATTCTTTCACTTTCAATTCAAGAACTGCACATCATAAAAACTGAGTTTATGAAAGACAGTTTTAAGACATTTAAAAAGTCCTTAGTCTCCACACTAGGGTTTTTAACTATATTAGTTGCCGTGCAACTGAACCATCTCTTTGCCAAGCACACTAAGCATTCTTATTTAGTGTGTTAATTGAGAAACAGACCCGAGACCCAACAGTTTCTGTGGTCTGTCAGAGCTATGAACATGGGCACTGGAAATGTGTTTGTCCTCCAGTGCTCTTACTTAGTACTGCATGTTTAAATCATGATCATAGCAAAAATTCCCAACAGGTATTTGCAGGATGTAAAAGTTTTTAGTGAACAGCCGCTAAAATGTAGATGCAAGTATGAATTTTAAATATTAAAAAATTATGAAACATTCATCAGTTGATGCTGATGGAGTACAATGGTAAGATGTCAATGCAATCACATCTACAGGATATCACAGGCGATGAAGCACAATTTTACATTTACACCTGTTAGCTTATGACTTATAAAGACACAAGTGATAAGTTTTCCATTTGAACTGTCGCTTTGCTTTTAGGGCTATCCTCACCAATATACAGAGCACAGGTAGTTACTTTCTTACAAAACCCCAGAGAAAACTGTAGCCCTATATTGCAAGTCCATATTGTAGACCATATTGCAATTATTTATGCACAAAACTCAATAGGCCATCAATCTTCATTCCTGGTCCTGAAAAGCTATAGCTGTGTCAGTTTAAATGAAACTCAAATTCCTTAAGAATAAGCAATTAGAATTAAGACCTGTTAAGTTATTAATAATTCAGGTAAGTCATTAATAGTTTGGGTGCAATGAAAACCATATATCTGGAAGGACCAGGAGGAGAAGATCAGAAGATCGCTTTTGTATGAGTAGGTTTGTAGCTCTGATATACCATGATGCAGCCTGAAGACTGCTGTGGCATGGCATTGGCAGCAGCTACTAGAATTTTGGAGTTCTTGAGAGGTAAAACATTTGCTTTTCAAGTGAATAGTGGAGTAGACTAAGCAGAAAGAATCTAGTGTTTGATCTCAGTGCAGATTAACTGTGGAGCGGACTTGAGAAGTTCTAAAATTATGGTTGGTCTGTATATTTTTGAAAATAGAATAACAAAGGGAACATTGCCTGCTTGTCAGGTTAAAGTGTTAGTGTCACCTGTTTTCTGTTCAAGTCTGAATTAAGGGGCTTTTGTGATAATGATTGTTCCAAGGCTAGTAGCAGACAGACTGGGGCAATAATTGCAGGCACTTTTCCCTGGTGAAAGGTGACGAGTCATTTGAGAATTCAATGGCAGCAAATAGAAATGGTCTATCTCAATGGCTAAAGAAAAATCTATGCCCAGTGTTGTCAACATGGCATCTCTCATGGGTTTCAAAGCAACTTTCCAAGATGCAAAGAAAGAAGTAAAGGTTTTTTCCATTCTGAAACGAAAAGAGACACGTGTTTACCTGAAGAAGGACCCACAGCCGAAACATTGTTTTTCTTTTTTTTTTAACATGAAATAACCTTTACTTGTTCCTTTGCAAGCTATGCATGCTGACGCAGCTACTGTACCTACTTGACCTTCTTCATCTTCCTAAGATATTTTGCAAATCCTGGCCTGTGGGCTGTTTTATCAATCCCAGAAGTATCATTTCCTTTGAAATTTTATTTTTACTCATTACAGAAAAATAATATAAAAAGTCCTTAATTCATTACAAAGATAAAGGCTGTAATTGTATAGGTGAGACCCTTCTGACCCTAAGGGTGTTGGAGTACTGTCAGGGTTGAGAGGTTTCTCCTCATAATAAGTTGGTTGGGGGTGGTCAACAATGATAAATAGATTTGTTTTATGTGATAGGAATATCATTGTTCATCCCAAAGTGGGATTATTAAGCGGTATGAAACCCCACTGCACTGCATTGGGATTAGAAACTGCCATAATGGGGAGTTTGCTGTGAGCACCAGAAGCTTTTCACATTAACTTGGACTTCACTCTTAATCTTCTGAAAGTCATGTACGGTTGAGGTCTTGAGGTCTGGCTTATTTTCCAACTTTAGTTCCTGTGGTGTTTTAGCATATTAGTAATCTGTACAATCTGAAAAGCGACTGAGTAGCACTACTGTATAAAAGGGTTTCAAGACTGACAGCTGAGTGCATTGTGTGGACGTGCAACCACATTCAGCTTTCATCTCACACCTTCAGTGGTGGTGGGGTATTGAGTTTGAAATTCACCTGTGATTTCTGCTGAGTTCCGTGTGCTATAAGGTTTTTATGTTTTTATGTGAGAAGTAAACAAATATACCTTTGCCTTCCCCTACATGAAAATAGTTTTATGTCTTTAGAAGAATAAAATACTAAAAGGATTATGTACCTTGAACTTTCAGATTCCATTGCAGGTCTGACAGCTCACTGTCTTCATGTTGCAAATGGACCTGTGAGCTTCGGTCTCCCTGTGTTTCGTTCAGTGAGTTGGCAATGAGCAGCTCATTACTCGTTAGTGTGGACCGCATTCCTCCAAGAAAACCTCTGTCAGCAAAACAGTGTCCCATAAGCACTTAATTGCACAAGAAATAAGGGCAGAAGTACTAATCCAGTATTAATCACATAGAATATCAGTAAAAATGTTCAACACCACAATTAATAAAGACCATATTTAGTCCAGTAAATTATAGTGCAGCACACTCTGTTATGACAGGTCTTTTGTATTCTACTGGTTGTCCCCCATCTTTCACCTCAAACATTTTTTATTTTGTGGATCAATGCTTTGTGATTTTGCCTAGTTTCCACACCTGGTCGTCTATCTTTTCTCCAAGAATATCCTCTGAAATGATACTCTACTAGCACATTCACAAATAACACAAGTTAGAGTCTCTGTCTGAAAGCCCTTCGACAACACCAGCAGTGATGCATCAGTCCTTACTGTGTATGCTGTAAATCTCTTTGAGATGGCAAATCCCATGTGTCCATGCATTTTCACAGCAAACAGGTTTGTTGGAGCCCTGATTATAATTAAAATTTTAGTATTCATGCTGCTGAGAAGACTATATGCTGACTTTTTACAAAATGCTTCTTGTAGAGCACGATTTTACCCTGTACAATGCAAGACTGGGAGAACTTCTGCCCATGCAGCTCGTCTTTGTGTGTGCACACTGATCTCTATGCACACAGATAGCAGCATGTCTTACCCAGCCAATCACAGACAGTCCTAGCTGAACGCCTTTGGGATCTTTCGAATTACTGCAAGGCCTGTTTGGCTTTAGTCCATTAAGCAGACAGCACTATTAGTTGCCAGTATCACTAGAGGAGGGAGTCAAATATGTTGCATGAAAGAAAGGATACTGGCATTTCAATGAGAAAAACACTGGGGGTTTTGATGAGCCAGCAAATATCTGTAACTAGCTTTAAGCATGGGAAAACTGCATAATTACAAATTCAATTCATATTGTAAAACTGCAGATGGAGAGTTTTATTGAATCATTCTGGATACCTTTTTCTTCTGATTAAATGCACGTGAACCCCTCAGTGGGCTCTCTGAGTGACTTGTCATTTGGGTGCTAATATCGACCCTTGCCCACCCTTGTGACTCCGACACCAGCTTGAAGTCCACCAAAGGTCGTGTCTCATGTGAGCAGAAGTCAGTTGTTACCATTCTCACACCTGAAGTTCTGCTTTCAGAGTGGGTGTATCACATATTTGCCAAGTTTTTCAAATTGTAATACTGTCATATTCCATTTGTTTTTTTAGAAATAATAAAAATCATCCATTCAGCTCAGTCACACTCGCATGTCTATAAGGTTCTTGACCTATTGAGGGTGCTGGTTTGACAGAGTTAAATGGAACCTATTTGCTGGGGGAGCAATTAGAAGGTCTTGTCACAGTGACTAAGTCCTGTAATGTTTTCTGCCCACGTCTGTAATACTTTCTGACAACATTAGATTTGCCCTTCAGACAATGCTCCTGTCACATTATGTATGCACTCCACTTATGGGTTCAAATTCCAGATTAGGCACTGCTGTTGTACCCTTGAGAAATGTACTTGGATTGTTCCAGTATAAATGGGTACAAATGGGTGCCAGTATAAGTTAATTTGGGTAGAAGTGTTAGCCAAACAAATAAGTAGTAGGTAAAGAGCAACTCTTCTTCCCATTGTGTTGGCAGCTACGGAGTGCTGCTCTGGGAGCTGCTGACAGGAGAGGTGCCATTCCGGGGCATCGACGGGCTTGCAGTGGCCTATGGAGTGGCAATGAACAAGCTGGCACTACCCATCCCCACCACCTGTCCGGAACCGTTCGCCAAGCTGATGGAGGGTAAGAACGGCTTTTCACCAGGTTCCCCTAAAGCTGCATTCCCTAAATTTACACACAAAATGTGTATGTATTGTAAAGAAAACTGTGTCACAGATACTGATAAAGAAAAGGGTCACAGGAAAATGTAGTTAAATGCATTACTGATATCCCCAATGTTTCTTCGATTGATACAGCTGATGGTATTTCTTGATTTCCTAAATTCAAATTATTGCTGTATACAAATGTCATCTCCATTTTCTCATTATCCACAATCTGAAGCTGTTTTGTTAGAAAGCAGCTTTACATAAATATTTTGTAAATGTTTTATTTTTTTATTTTTGAGATGGTTAGCACAAGAAGATGGACAAGGTATAACCGTTTTCTCGATCTGAATTTTCTTACTAGGTAATTCAGTCTTTGACAGACTAAAATGAAAGCAAACTGGCAGCTACAGGAGTGTAGAGGCCTGTATGGAATTGTCTCGTGACTTTGAAAGATATTCAGCAGGTGTAACTGGTACGCTGAGCCAGTTACAGAAGTGACAGGTCCTCTATCGCTGCAGAGTTTTACACTGTCTGTCCTCTGAAGGCTGGTATTTTGGAGTGGTGATGAAATCCTCTGTTTAGGTAGTGCAGCTGTACATTCTCAGAGCTTGTAAGCAGCAAGGATTGAAGCTCATTAGGGAGTGGGGAGCTGCCCTCATCCCCTAAGTGCACTCAGGTGTTGTTGCTTATCCATCTGATCCTGGCATATGTGCTGTCCCCCCTCCACCCTGCTGCAGACTGCTGGAACCCAGACCCACATTCCCGCCCCACCTTTACCAGCATCCTGGACCAGCTGACTGCCATCGAGGAGTCGGGCTTCTTTGAGATGCCAGCCGAGTCCTTCCACTCGCTACAGGATGACTGGAAACTGGAGGTGCAGGAGATGTTCGACCAGCTGCGGGCGAAAGAGAAGGTGGCTCAATCACTGTCTTCTTCCTGAACTACCATCTTTGACATGACGTTTTTCGAAAATGCTGTGGATCATGGGTATCAAGATTATGGCCCAGATAGTCTTTTAAGATTACTAGCAAAGAGCAATTGTAATATATCTTAAATTGCCATTTGCTCTTAAGATTTTAACAAAACAGAAGCCACTCCATTTTCAGCCTTGTCATTGGTATGCATGAGTAGCTAGCAGATTTCAAGAGATTTTGGCCAAGAAAAGTTCTTTTCTGGCCTGCCAATTTTTTGTAAAAATGCCATGTTGCTGATTATGGAGGAAGGTCTTTTAAGAACAAGATACACACTGGCATAGCAATCAATTTGCTTTTTTGCAGGAGTGCGTTAACTAGACAAAAACTAGAAAAAAAATATATATTGTAGATAACTTTAGAGATCCCCATATTCCACAGCTCCACAGATGAGGACAATAATTTCAATGCTAAATCTCTAAGGTTTTGTACTAATGCTATATCTCATTTACACTGTATAATTTATGGAAGGGTCTAATTGTATTTATACTGACTTAAACTGTCCAGAATTTGACCATATCAAGAACTAACTCTGAACTCACACTGTCCTATACACCCATCTATTTTCTAACTGCTTTATCCAATTCAGGATTGTGGGGGCACCATAGCCTATCCCAGCAAGCAGCAGGCACAAGGATAAACCCTGGTTGGGACACCAGTCCATTGCAGGACACACAGACACACAAATACGCTCACACCAGGGCCAATGCTCTGCAGCATTTGGAGCAACCCATGCGAACATACAAACTCCATGCAGATAGCACCCCAGGAATTGAACCCAGGTCTCCAGCACTGTGAGGCAGCAATGTTAACCAATGCACCTCAACTGTTCTACTCCCTTTATTACAGTATACTTTTATTATAAATATAAACCTACCTTGTGGTTTCTTACATAGTAGAGCAATGCAAAAGGTTGCAGTCTCCAGAAAAATGTCACTCGTCCTTTTTTTATTGCCATGAATAGGACACAAATGCCAAGGTTTAAACTAGGGTTATTTTTAAATCTGTCTAGTGCATTGAGGAGTTAATTGAAGTGTGCACCTGCTGACCCAGAGAAAGAGAGATGTATTTCATGCCAGCGCAAGTCGAAAAAACAGGAAGTCAGTCTAAATAACTGTTTATGTGGTATTTCTGACTGGCGGTAAAGTGTAACAGTCCAACATCCTTCTTGCTGATAAATAGCCTAAACCTGTAATTTTTGTAATTTTGCTGTAACAAATTATTAATAGGGAAGACGCTGCTGTTTTACTGCTGTGTGAGAATTCAGTCCACTTCATCCGACAAATTTAACTGCCATGTCAAACAAGACAAATACATAATTTCTCTTAACTGGAATAAATTAATTAACTGAATGAAAAATAACTGAGTAACTTTAATAATTGTCGTACAGTTTTGCTTTCCCTGAGGTGTGTTAAGGTTAATTTGTGCTCATATGTTGTGGAAAACATCCATCTATTCTAAGTGTAAACTTATTTTTTTTCAGCTCTAATTCTCATGTCAAATGTGATCCTCTCAAGAGCCTAGATAAGTTATTTTAGAAAGAAATTTAATAAGAATCACACCAATAATAATAGTGCTTGCACCTATCCAAATAGCCCAAATTACTATCAGGTTGCTTGACAGTGAGGAATTATGGAATTATTAAACTTCCTGCTAGGAAGCTTCCTAGCTAGGCAAGAAAAGAGCCCCATTGACTAATCTGAGGTTGAAGATCTGAACTGTCTAGCTCAGTTGAGTCGAACCCTGCTGTTCCCCAGATGTGGGCGTTTTGAAAGTTTTTGAGAGGTCTGGGAATGATATTAACATTAACAGGAAGATGAATTATGAGCTTTATTTCAAATGCAAAGCTAAGTTTTGAATCAACTTCCCTGTTTCTGTCACATTTATATGGGAAAACTTGGGATGAATAATAAATTTGATCACATTGTAAAAGATAAAATGGGTATTAAATGTGATGATATTGGATATAAAATACTTTTGTATTAGCATTTATTGTACAATTGAATTCCTTGTGTATGTAGCGTAGTTAGAAAATAGTGATTTAAAGATTAGATCTAATAAAGATGAGAAGGCAATGAATAGTGTTTAAAAAAAATACCTTTTATTGACTTGTATTTTCCCTTTCCGTCCTGCGGGGGGCTATCAGGAGCTACGCTCATGGGAAGAGGAACTGAGCCGGGCAGCGCTGCAGCAGAAGAACCAGGAGGAGGCGCTGCGGCGGCGAGAGCAGGAGCTGGCGGAGCGCGAGATCGACATCTTGGAGCGCGAGCTGAACATCATCATCCACCAGCTGTACCAGGAGAAGCCTCGCGTGGAGAGCCGCCAGGGCAAATTCCGCAGAAACCGCCTCAAACTCCGTGACGGCAACCGCATCAGCCTGCCTTCAGGTATCTGGCTGCAGAGCCATTTCCTGTGTGCACGACCTGGTACTCATTCAGGCTTGCTATGACCTAGCAAAAGTGAAGCAAAAAAGTTACCCTGCAACGCTTAATTCAGTGGTTTGGCCAATATGTGCTAACGACGGAACAAGGCAGCGGACTTAGTACTTTTGGCGTTAACTCACATTTAACTCACAGTAAATGACAGTGCTAGCTGAAGATCAATGCTGTTTCAACCCCCTCACTTACAAGGAATGAGCCAGGGAGGCAGCTGCAAGAGTGAAGTTAGCATGGAGGGAGGGGAGCTAGAAAAGATGTGTGAAGAACTGTGGGCAACCAGGGAGTACTTGTATGCAGGAGAGCAGAAGTATGCCATTAAAATTTGATCTCCTCTCAGACTTTTGTTAAATTATACCATTTCTGACTTGTTTTTAATTACTGATTTTCAGCAGCAATGTTAATCAGTTAAAGGCTGTCTGGATTAGAGACCCGCAGTGCTTTAGATATAGCAACCACGGCTGTCCACATCTGTTAACTTGTGATACTACATTCATACTTACTGTAGTTGACATTTAATTTATACCAGAAAGCTATTTTTTTCATTCCATTTCCAGAAGTAATTAAAAAGCCCTTATGTCATACTAAACCTAAGGAAAGCCTGGAGGTCTGATGTGTCTGAAAGCTGCATACACACACCAATGTTCCAGGACCAGGATTGGTCACTCTCTTATAAGAGAGTAGTGCAACCAAACTGTTTTTTACTTTAATATTTTGTGATCTTATCATATGCAAGATATTGCCTAGCCCTGCCTTGGAGACATATATCTGAAATATGCCAATGAAATCCAATGGAAGAATGCATTCAGGACTGTGTTGTTGCAGATTTTCAGCACAAGATCACAGTGCAGGCCTCGCCAACGCTGGACCGCAGGAAAAGCCTGATGAGCAGCAGCTCCAGCCCCCCTGCCAGCCCCACCATCATCCCACGCCTCCGCGCCATCCAGCGTGAGTCTGTCTCAGACACCTCTCTCACTCTGATCAGCTCGGCTGCCAGTGGAGCTGGCTGTTAGCAGGGCGCGAGAGTGAATGTCAGGGCTGTGTTTTATAGTTCTGGGAAGATTAGAACTGAGTGGAGGCTTTTTGGCCCATCTAATCTGTTTGGCTGGTGGTAGCTAATTAATGCAAGGGTCTCATCCAACCATGTCTGGTAAGGAACCAGGCCACCATCTTCAAGAACATGACATTTGAGATTGTTCCACACTCCCACCACTCTTTGGGTAAAGACATTCCTTGAAAGGTGTTTGGCATCATGGAAGTCAGTTTTATGTGCACATTATAAATTAACATAAAAAGAACATAGAATATTAAATCTATTGGGTTCATGAAAAACTTATTGGTAATAATTTGTTTATTGACAAAGCATGATTATGTGATGAAATTTTGCACTAAGAATGGGAGCACTGCTGTGGAAAATCTGATAATTCCACAGTGGCAGTCCCTGGCTTTGCTTTGGTTTCCATCAACCTTTTTCACAACCTGATACCTTGATTTTTTTCAAGAAACGGCTGGATGAGATTCTTGAATCAATTAAAAGGGAACTGCAAGGCTATTTTTATATTTCAGGGTTAGAAAGAATTAGCATTGATGAGTGCTTTTCAAACCATAATAAAAGTCAAATGCACACAGTATCTT